GACTCGGGGTTCGGGGCTATTGCCCTGACAGCCAGGCGCAAGGAAGATATTCTAGGTGCAGTGGTTCTATGGGATGATCTGGAGTGGGAAAAATGGGGCATGTTGTGGGAAAGAAGGTAACTGGCAAGATATTGGATGAGCAACTAGATGCTCGTAGGCGGCTCGATAAACGAATCCCCCTGAAGATCCGAACAACCAGGAAAGCAGAGAAAGAGGTGGCCCTAGTTGCAGCCATCAAACGTGCAATCGATACGCTGATCGGTCCTGAAGAGGATGGTCCAGTCGCAGATAACAACACCGATAGAGGATATGAGATCAGGAATGCCAACTGCCAGAACCTAAGAGGTATTGAAAATTAGAGACTATCTACATGTTTTCTGATGGTCAAAAGTGTTGTTGAGATGATGGGTGGGGGAAAGATTTTTTGCCACTTTCTGCGTGCAGATTAGATCACGTGGTACTACAAAGTTAATGTGATGTTGCCGGTCCCCATAGGCACGTGCGACCTGGAGCAGTCTGTCTCGTTCTGCACTGCCGCAGTGCTGATGGATCGTGATGGGTGACCAACTGCCCAGGTCCTAACTTGCCTCTAGCATGGCTGAGGTTAAGTTGCTGAGGAAGGGGGAGGTTTGCTCCTTTCCCCCACCTGCTCGCTTGCCTTCACGCTTGTGCTCGGAGTTACTGGTATGTTTCCCCAGCGCAGCAGGGCTTGTAACTCACGCTCGCTTGCCAGTACCCCCTCTGGTTATTGCATAGTTATTGCTTTTCCACTTCCTTCTTACTGTTCTCTGTAAGCATATCTTCTCTCTTGTTCTCTTTATCGTGATTGCTTGCTCTCAGCTCTTGTTCCAACCTCACTTGCACTGCTCTCTCTTCTGCCTACCCTCCACCTTCCCCAACTCCACCTTTGTGACTGGTACTGTTATCTCGTTGTCATCTTATTGTACCGGCTCGCCCTTGGCCGTTGTATTTCTTTTCTTGCAAGCAACGTGGGCTGTGTCCACACTGTGGGAAATATTTCTCCATAAATGACCACAATTACTCTGGTAATTGACCATTTCGATGGTTTTTGGAGTCTAGTATTTTACCAAATCGAAATTGCAAGTCAAGGAACCGACTTTTCATGGCAAGTATTTTACAACATGTACCACGGTAACTTGTGCAGGTGCATAAAATCATCATATTTTCACCTCATTGTCACTACAAACTGAGTCCCAAGATGTATTCTATCAGCATGCGCTTATCAGGGCATACAAAGAAGATAAGACCACCAGGAAGTCTGATTGGGGAGTCGGAGCACGGGGCGTTAATACGTCACCCTCGGTACCGTGGGCAGTACATGCCTCAATCCCACCCTTGAAGGCCATTTTCACAACACCTCACAAAGATAAGCCAGTATTGGATGCAACCTTATGTGGCATTTCATTGCCATCTTTACTCGTCAGAAATGATCTCAAGTCAAAGTCGAACTGAACGGAAATTCCCGGACCTACCGAACTTCCTCTTCTCTCTCACCGTACACTCACCATATGCATTGGATCCATGCCTGGCTGCTATGACACGTGTAGTTAGGCCTTGGTTTGTTTTTCACGTCTATATACATGCTTCAACACCTGTCCAGTTTAGCATTGCAAGTGGAAAGTTGTGCGATAGGCACCTCCCATATCACACCCCCAAGCGATACCCTCTTATCTGCCCACTCTCCAGCCACTGTGTCACCTCAACCCACCATCCATGAAGAGAGAGCCCGAGCATCCGCTCAGCAGGGTGTTGTCTGGCCCCGGAGTATGCCCACTATTTTTAGTTTCTTCTGCGCTCATCCCTAATCTGGTAGATGCAATGTCGTTTTCACTGTTGTTACCATGTTCATAGCCCCAAATAACCATGAACCATTATGTATTTTACCATCCACAATCATCGTAAATTACCAGACCTGTGAGGTAAAATACCAAATACAACCATCGTAAAGTGACTGTCATTTACCATCATTAAGATGGTAGAAAACTACGAAAAAATAGGTCTTTTATCCTCGTTAGCATGGTAATGGGAACTCAGTGAAGGACCATAGTCTTAATGGTAAAATACTATTCTAATCATTGTCAAAGTGAAGGTATTTTATTGTTGTTTAATGTCTCCATTTCATGAGACTAATCATGGGATAGCAACTTACCATCAGCTGATCTCAGGTTCCCGCTTCTGCTTGCCACTAGCTGGGAAACCTGGCTGCACCCTGTGGGGACTGTTTTGGCATTCACATGCCTCCCAGCACTCCCATGGATTATGCCACTTTAAGAATAGGTCAAGAAGGGAGAATTCCTCCCCATTCTCTTAACAAGGGCACGGCTGCCTCACAACAGCTGGGCCAATTGGCCTGAAACTTTTCAAACCACTGTATCCTGATTTTAGATATTTTCAATGCCATTTTTATGTTTCCAATATAGATATGGCATGAACAATTTCATAATGTGTTTCATAAGGTGCTAGACATGTTTGAGTGGCTCCACACTGTTCACACCAATACATGCTGGCTAAATCCCTCCAGACAGAATCCAACCTTCCTCCAGATCCCTTCAAACACCTCTTCCATCCAGCCTTACCCTTGGGATTTTTATCCAAATCCAAATCCAACATGATCCATCTGGGATGTCCAAGGGGCCTTCATCTCGAAAAACAAAAAATGAAAAATGAAAAAAAAACAAAACAAAAACAAAACAAAACAAAAAAAAACAAAACAAAAACAAAAACAAAAAAACTGAAAACAAAAAAAAAAAACAAAAAAAAAAAACAAAAACAAAAAAATAAAAAAAAAACAAAAAAATAAAAAAAATAAAAAATAAAAAAAAATAAAAATAAACAAAAAAAGAAACAAAAACAAAAACGAAAAAAGAAACAAAAAACACAAAAAAAAGGAGAAGAAGAGAAGATCACAAAGAACACAGGGCAAAGGAACATGGAATAAAGTTAACACTGAAACACTCTGTTAGCCCTCACTCCATCAGGGGAGACACACATTACCTTCATCATGGTTGGAGCCATCTTGCCAATCATCTCCGTGGCATAGGGGCTGAGGACTTTATGAAGCTAGCTAGTATGTAAGCAGAAGCAGCTCCACAGTGATCATACAGACTTACCTTTACAGTTCTTAATTCCTCCTTACATGGTCAAGCCTGCTTCATGAATCCAGTTTCTGAGTACCAAGCTGAGAGAGGAAAGGATCATAGTGAAATCATGCCTTACTGTGTTGTGATACTTACAATTTTCCTCCTTGTCGCAGCTTCATTCATAAGCCTAGAAGGTTTCATGAAAGACAGACCAGAAAAAGGCTAGTCAGTTGTGAAACTCCTCAAACTGCTCTCCAGCTATCCCCATCATGGCACCTTTCTGACCCGGATACCTTGTAGCTGCTCACAGAGGGACAGACAGCCGGCGTGCCTGCCATCATGATGGGCGAATCAGGCAGTCATATACAATGACATCCATTATTGAGATGCAGGCTGGGTGGCCACCCTACCACTTCATCCCTCATAGTTCATGGGTCATACTTGGGCAAAGGAAAGAGGGTTTTTGATGCCCTTCGGCTTTAAGAACCCATGGCCGGAAATTGCCGATTCTGAGTTAATGGACAATGCGCTGGCATTTGAGCCATTTGATCAATGAGGAGTGAAGTTCTTGGTGAGGGGCTGCTTCATGCGAGCCCCTGGTGTCGATTTTGGCAATTTTTGGTCGATTGGGTGATTTTTGGTGCGCTTGCTGTATTCTTTCGCTTTCACACCTTTATCGCCATTCTGACATTCTGCAACAGCCTTAGATTCTCTTTCTACTCCCCCTTGGGCTTCTCCTATCATCCATGCACCCCCAACTTGCTTGCCATTGCCAGTTTCAATAAACTCGGCATCACGCGCTTTCATCATCCAGGGCTTGAATCAAGGATGCGCAAGGCTCCCTCGGCGTATACTCCCACGAGGGCAAGGACCGGCAGGGCAACAAGGCGCTTACGAACAGCTGCGTTGCCTCCGGGGGCGTGACTACGAGTACAGTGTTGACCACGCCAACTTCTCAAAGTCTCTTTCATCACATTTCTATGAAATCTAGGAGCTCCCTACGGTGGCCGGTAGTCGCATCTCCAACATCGGAAAAATCGGAAGAATGGGAGGAGGTGGGGCCAATATTCGCGCCGCGCCAGTCCAAGTCTGGACCTGGTTATGCTGGCCATGCCAATGTTTACAAAACAGATGCAAGTCTACTAATTTTCTTTTTTGGTTTGCATAATGTTGAGCGTTTTCTTCATAACAGGATCCCAACATGTCACCATTCAAAGACCACATGATTCGGGAGCGGGTCTCGACGAAGGGTGAGCTTTGAGAGCTGGAACCCTCCTCCCAAGTTGCTGGCTGCATACATCCCTTCGAAAAGATCGGGAAAGTGAACAAGACCGGCACGAAGCGTTACCTCTCCGGTCAGGCATTGTGGGATAAGAGATATGCCAAGGATGTCCAGCGCGTTGCGAAGAATCGGCAGAAACACCTCAAGCTTGCGAAAGAAGAAACGCAAAAATCTCTTGAGAAGTTGAAAGCTCGCTTCGACTACATGAAGATGCTGGTAACGGAGGCTCGGTTGCGGAGTGTAGTCCTAGTTCCTCTGACAGCGTGGACAAGTGGGATATAAATTTGCCGTTGTGCATTTGGGGTTGGGCACAGGAGGGAGAGAATCTGCCGCCGTCTAGTATTGTCGCTCAGCGGGACACTGTGAGTGGGTTTTTAACTTTCATTTTAGTTGAGATCCTGAGCCTTTTTCTCCGCGTCCTTTGCGGATGTAAGGAGGAAGCCAGGCACGGGGCCCAATGCTAACGGCGACAATGCTGACGGCGGCAGTAGCTCCCGAAGCGCAGCAAAGGATCGGAAGAGCTTATTCAGATTATTCCAGGGTCCCATCTCCCGAGGAGACCCTGTGAGAATATCTCGATGTACAGGATGATTGTGTTATATATAGGATGGTCGAAATGATGAAACTTATTAGATTCATTGTTGATTGTAAAGCAGAACAACAGAAGACAGAAGAGACTCAAGGTTCATCGATGCCCCAAAGAAATGATGTGTGTGGAAAAAAAAAAAGAAGGGAATTTATCTGGAAATTTCGAACAGTCGAATCGAATCGAGGGAGCAAGCAACCTTGCGCTTCCATTTTTTGTAAGTTCAGTCATTAAATGCGTATCTCTATCGAAACTGGCGTTGGACGCGGCAGGAGATGGAGGAACGGTAGCGAGGGTGTTTTTCATGGGTCCAAAAAACTCAATGAGGTCATTGGCGAATTCTGCTGGCGAGAGTTGCGCCGCGAAGTGGCCACCCTATCGAATGGTGAGAGAGAAATGGATTGTCCCGTTGATGTCAGTACAGTTGAAGGGGGGGGAAGGGAAAAGAAAAAACGAAACTGAGTTTTCCTGTGGTTGCGACCCAACATGCTGGAACGGGAATTACTTCTATAAAAACGAGGGAACAAAAAGAAGAAAAGAAAAAGAAAGAAAGAAAGCGCGGAAAAAAGTTACATAGTTGTATGGTCAATCAATTTTCAGGTTCATTTGTTAGCGGCTGCATTAATGATATGTAGTAGTCGTAACCTACGTACCATGTGGGAAATAACTGTAACCGAAGGGTTTATGGATGTAAAGCGACGGATCATCGGTCGGGAGCGTTGGCGTCGATGCGCCACCGGGAAATAACTATATTGAATCATTTTCTTTTTTTAGCTTTGTCGATAGATAGCAGGTTGGAAAAGGTAAAAAGAAAAGAAAAGGCTCGTACCTCCCGGTAAGCGTGAATGCTTCTTGCATAGGTCTGAGTGAACCAGTACAGTGTAAGGGTCGTTAGAATCATGTCAAGTGCATGTTTTGTTCTAAAGTTTCTCGCCTGTCCTGTATGGTGGTGGGGAGGGGGAGGGAAGCATAAGGGTACTACATTTGCTATGGCATGACATGAAAATGAGTTGGGCAAACTTCGACTTACCACGCCAAGCTCGCTCCTGGAGAGCAGCTCATCACGGCTCCCATCGTACTCAGGTTGGTCGATTGTATTGTGGCATAAGTGGTCCCGCTTGACAAGACTTGTTTGCCCGTTGTAATCCTTTTTGCTCCGCCTCCGTGAGGGGTGGTTGAAGTTAAGGTGTAATGATGATGATAAAGATAAGTCTATCTTAATACCCCGCGGCCTCGTGATGACGTGGCAGTGCGGCTGTCCCATCTGTACACCGTGGCGTACATGAGGGTATCGTCGGGTGATAGTGATCCTCGGGGTTTGAATGAGAGGAATAATAATGGAACTTGGTGAACAAAGGTAAGTTTTTTTTTGAGCTTGGCGTACCTTTGCATCCATGATATCTGACGGCCATCATAAAACTGCCGATGTCACCACCTTGAACAACGTAACTAGATCCGTATCCGAGTCCTGACATGAGTTTGTCCATGAGACGCGCAACGGCAGCCATTGTTAGGTCGATGTGTAGCGCTGCCCCGGTGCACCTCGTCAGTACATGCGTAACTGCAGTTGTCGTCGTTTCGAGCAGGTGGTCAACGAGGCGCGCGCGCTGATTGCTACGAAGCTCGGTGGCGCCAAACTCTTCGCCAAGCAGCTTGCGGCACTGTTGGCCAAACCGGCATCTGACGACGAGGAGGCAGCAGAAGACAAGTTGGACTTGGAGAGGAAAGAGGAGGATTTGAAGAGGGCGAAGGTGGACGTTAGTATCCTGGACGACTTTCTCAAGCTCATCGACTCTACATGGAGTGACGTCTACCAGCGAATCGTCGGGTGGCTCGATTGGGCACCCAAAATTGCTAACGATCTCGACATCGCGCTTAAGGAGGACAAGTTCCTGAAGAACTTCAAAGGCAACTATGTCTAGCTCGGTGCATTCTGCTTGTATCTCTCTTCCTTTTTTCGTCCAATGCAAACATGAATCATTAGCCGGAAAGTCCACCCGCGATGAGATTGTCTCGTTCTTCTACCCCAATGCCACCAACCCACCATCCTTCGAGTACCCAAAAGATCATCTCTTCAGAATTTGGGTTACGTCGACGCCGCAGGCCTGGCGAACCCCTACTTCTGGGACGAGCAAGGTAACCCGTGCTTCATCGTGGCCAAGAATGGGCAGACGACCGATCTTACTTTGGTCGCTTCTCCGAGTTGGAAGCTTACACATGTGACGAGTTCGAGCACGATTCGTGGGATGTCACTGTCCTCAACTTTACCAGAAAGCACGGCAACTTTTCTGACCATCGCGACTGGCGCATGCGTCTTCGGCGCCAAAGGCAAGATGGTCGCGATCTTGGATTCCGGCATGCCCAGGGGAATGTCCAACCACGTCACGTTTTGCACTCCTGCTCACTACGTCGTCGATCTCGTCAGGGAACGCTACCCCCACACCGATTTGGACCGCCTCAAGTTCACCGAAACCGCAGCCTCAAACCTCAAAGTCCCTTTCTGTCGGCTTCCGCCTCCATCATCACTGTCTTCCTTGACTCTTTCTATGTCGTTGGCTCCAAACGCGTGTTTTCCAGTCAATTCGCTGCGAACGTTTGTCCCTTTGCCTTGTACTTTTTCATACAGGGGGTTTGGGCGCTTCGTCAACTCCTGGGCGCGAACGCATCCACGCTCGATCCATATCCTCAACCGATTCTGGAATGACTCCAAATCATACCGACAGTCTTGTCTTACAATCTTCCCCCCATTCGTCTTGCGACTCTTACAATAATCATCTGTTTGGCGATCCTGCTGTTGACTTCCCACAACCGCAAGGTTTCGTGTTTGGCTCTGATCCTCTCTCTATTCCTAGTTTTGGCACAAGGACTGTGTCTCCCGATCCAATAACGTTGTTTCCACTCGACCCCCGTCAGCAGCCTCCTCATCCTTCCCTCTTCAATACAACTCCGCCTCCACCTCCACCTCGCTTGAGGTGTTTGACATCAACCCATCAGCATCATCCTCCTCGAGTGCATCTGTTGGCTAGGTGCCACCTACCTCAGCCGATGATCCGGTTAACACGCAATTCGTCCACATGCTTGCATTGATGGCGATGATTTGATTACATAATACCGCAGCACTTGAAGAGCCTCTCAGCTACGATAAACGTTTGAAGGCTGCTGAGGCCGTTGTCTCAGTTGTGAGCGAGTTAACTAACTCTGAGGCCGACTTTGGGGAGTTCGACATGCTGATAGGGGTACGATCCACGTTCATACTTCGTAAGATGAAATGATTGAAGCTCATTCTTCATTTAGTATTGCTGGAAACACACCTGCGATGTCCTAATTGAGCAGCGGTCTCGGGTCCTGACTGCATCAGAGGCTTCGGCATTGGACCACAAGATTGATATCATTATCTCACAGATGCGCCTTCTCGAGACCGTTTTTCCACTGACAGGTGGGTGCGTTTTCACGAGCTGAGAGTAAGAAATGTGATGCTAATGACGGATCCAATACACAGCTTTCCAGATCAATGACATCCTGCAGGCTCGGCAACAGAGTATACTGTCCACTGCTCCAACTGTACCTGTGGCTGCGCACGTCACCACAGTGCCGACCCTTTAGCTGTTGGATCTGCGTTACGTATTGTCTCTTACTCGTTTGCTTACTACTAGCTAGAGAGAGGTCGATACCCCCACTTTCCCACTTCAGCATTCCTATCGCAACCCGCATCTTGCCATGCCTCTCATGCCGACGTTCACATACTAACATCCTTGCGCTGTCCCCACATTGTCATACCTCCCTGAATCCTTCCGCTGTTTATACCACCTGGGTATGCCGTGTTACAGATATATCCGGCTTAGTGCCATTAGCTAATTCTTCATGGGTGACTGCTTGCTTTGGATGCATTTCTGTTTGGAGCTTTACGCTTCATGGAAGCCCTTTTGGGGATAAAGAAAATCGGTTTGTTCCCTCGACTTTGTCTTGACCCGTTCTTGGCACAGTAATGTAATTTATCGGTTGGTTGTCGACGATGCTGGATGTCTTGACTCATGAATCCCTGACTTGGTATGTTCATCTCCTCTGCCTAATATTCTCGTACTTATTCCCCACCGTCTTCAAATCTAGACACTGGAGGATGGACTTTGCGCTTCAGGTAAGTTTTGTTTTTCGTCATGTCTCTCGATTTTTGTGGCTAATGACTTTTTTTGATGTTGTAGGCCTTGGGTTTTTGGATACATGTTGTCAGTCACTCTAGCTTCTCATTGTGAACTCGCAGCCTCCATCACCATGCATGCCTTTTGTTGTCTTGTATATCGACCATCCCCTTTCACTTGTTTTTACCTTTCCCCCCTTCCGTGCTCCCCACTTTTTTTTTCAAATTGTATAAAACCCATATCTTTGTCTCTATGCGGTACAATGGACCTTACACGTTGTTGTCCTTTGTTTAAAGGCAAGGTTAAACAAGTGAGCGAAATTCCTGCACATTCCTGCTACAGATAGCGGATCTTAGTTGATTGACTTCTCATGGCCACTGTTGGCTTGTGAGTGGGTTGAGTGGCAGGTATTGCTGCTTCAGGTGGTGCTTGTCAGTTATATTAGTATGTCTGAGTTGGTACTTGCAACAGCAGTTTTTCGTCCAACTCCGCTATAAGATCACCTGACCGGATTTGTTGTGAACACGCAAGCGCAAGCAGACACACCAGCCACACAACACTCTACACACCATACACACACACTTCAATGGAATCCATTCCACCACCCCCACCCAAGCAACCTCGTGGGAGGTCACGTAAGATGAGAAACTACTATCAAAAGACCGGAATTGTGTCACCACCCTTTAGAGTGAAAGACATGTAAGCCTCTCGGGAACGTGCATATCAGATGACTTCACTCAACTAAATCTTAGGAAAACTGCATTGAATGACCACCAAGAGAGGGTAAGGGGTGTTAAAGATCCCTGGGTGGGGGAAGCAATAACCCTTGCTGAGAGGGAAGTTGAGGCAGCCATATTTGCTGCACTCAAAAATACAGGTAGCATCATTCTATTGCATTTTTTGCTAATGACTCAACAGTATTTCCAGTTCGCATTGACATAGACTACAGAGATGTGGCAAGTCATAACGATAAGGCTACCAACAAACAAGGGACACAGACCAACATGAGGGATATTGAATTCCCCACCCCCCCAATTGAGAAAATATTGCTGGACAATCGTCATGGAGCTGCTATAGAGGACAGGAATGGAGTACTCCTGGCAATTCGTCTCCCAGGAGTATTTGAATTCATTCATGTATGTTTGAATTATTGGAGTTGATCAATATTAAATTTTACCTCCATCTTGCTTTATCCAGGACAAAATTACGGATGCAGGGGCTAAATTCAGTCATCAATATGGCTTTCCCACTTCAAAATACCGCACCAATTTCAAGGAAGATGTTTCTAAACTGTTCAAAAGTGGCCAAGCCCACTTTGCTTACTGGCAAGGCCTTGGTAGGAAGGTTAGTCTTTCTCATGTGTCACACTCATATAGCTGATGAATGTATGTAGGATCTGCATCCAGTTGTGAGCAGGGACTCAAAGAAATTTCTGAAAACCATCAGGGAGTTTCATGACAAATGTGAACCCCTTTATCATATTCTCAATCTTTATTCGGAGAGAATAGCACCAAATCTTTGCAAGCAAAGCAGGAAGATTTGGCAATCTGTTAGGGACTTCAGAGACCCTGATGGGTACCTCAGCCGTGTCAAAAGCCATTTTTTCAGCCATGCTGTGCATTTTAACTCTGACACACAGTACCATACATCAGCAAAAGTCTGTTATGCTCCGGAGCATCAAGAGTGGCTGGAGCATGTGGGAGACAAAACAGCAGATTGGGCACTCCTGGAGCCAATAGTGTTCTCCTGGGAGGGGGTTCAGGAGCAGCTGGGAGTGGTGAGGAGTATGTAATGTGCCAGGAGCAGTGGGAGGAAAATTTTGGTCTCTAAAAAGTTGAAAAAAAAAAATTTAGGGAAAAATCAAAAAAAATTCAGGAACTATAGTGCCTTTAAAGTGCTTTCAGGACATATAATTATTTGCAAAATTGAGGAAGAAATGATGGAGAAAACTGGAAAATACTTTCGGAGACCCGAGAAATAATGAGAACTGAATTGATGGGAAAGTCTGAAAATTGAATAGGAAAGTGAGGGGAAGCCTTGTAAGCATTGTTATTTTCTGCTGTTCTGATTTTTCCTGATTGTTCTTGGTCTCACTCCCAGCTGCTCCTGGACCCTCCCAGGAGCTTTCAGGAGCTTCCTGGAGTATTGAGGAGCAGCTGGGAATGAGACCAAGAAGAATCGGGAAAAATCAGAACAGCAGAAAATAACAATGCTACAAGGCTTCCCCTCACTTTCCTATTCAATTTTCAGACTTTCCCATCAATTCAGTTCTTGGGTCTCCAAAAGTATTTTCCATTAGCTGCTCCTGGACCCTCCCAGGAGCTTCCAGGAGTATCCAGGAGTATCCAGTAGCAGCTGGGAGTGAGACCAAGAAGAATCAGGAAAAATTAGAACAGCAGAAAATAACAATGCTAGAAGGCTTCCCTATTCAATTTTCAGACTTTCCCATCAATTTCTCATTATTTCTTGGGTCTCCGAAAGTATTTTCCATTTTTCTCCATCATTTCTTCCTCGATTTTGCAAATAATTATATATCCTGAAAGCACTTCAAAGGCACTACAGTTCCTGAATTTTTTTGATTTTTTCCCTAATTATTTTTTTCAACTTTTTAGAAGTCCCTATTTTTCAAATTTTCCTCATTTCCCTCTATATCCCCCCCTCATTCCCCCCTCATTCCCCCCCTCATTCCCCCCTCATTCTCCCCCTCATTTCCCCCTCATTTCCCCCTCATTTCCCCCCCTCATTTTCCCCCATTTCCCCCTCCCCCATATTCTGCCAGCCTGAAAGTGATTAAGTTGCCAGATTAATCATATATCAGGCCATAAATTTTGATTGTGTATTGGTGAGTCTCAGTGTCCTTGATATATAGTATAGTGTTTGATCTAAATGTTAAGCAGTGTCTTGTTGTGTTAGTCTTGTGGTAGGAGGTATTCATGGGGGATCTTCCCTCTTTTTTTCCTTTTCATTTTCAAATGCTCCAGGAGCTCCCAGAAGCTTCTCACCCCTATACACTTTGAAGCATTTAAATTGTATTTACTGGATATGTTTGTGCACAAAGCAATGCTTCAGGTCCTCCTGGGAGTGCCCTGGAGTACCTAGCCAACTCCGGAGGAAATGGGCTGTTCCTGGACCGGCCAATCTCCTCCTGATTCTCCCAGTGCTCTCGATACTCCGGAGCACTCAGGAGCATAACAATTTTTTGCTGATGCTAAGGATCAAGAATCTTGTTGGTCTTGCTTTGATGCCATTGCTGTGTTTGGCAAATATGAGGGTGGAGAGCTTCATTTTCCTGAGCTGGGTTATTCCTTTCCCTCTCATCCCAGTGACCTCTTCTTTATCAGAGGGGCTGCCTTTGAACATGATGCTGGGGGTTGGGAAGGTGATGGTAGGATGGTATTTGCAATGTTCTCTGACAAAGGTGTCTTCTATCAAGACTGTGAGACTCGCCCTCAAGATCTGGAGCCCATATATGGCAAAGCCCATTCTTCATTCCAGGCTACACATTGCCCCTCATCCTTAACACCCATTTCTACTTCCACAGCTTCTGGCAGCCAGCCAATATCTAATGACCAGAGGAAGGGGAAGACAGGAAGCAGCAGGGCAGCAATGCAGAGGTTGAAGAGGAAGCACTCTGTTGATGGTAGCATGGACCAGGAAACACAGTTGCCTGCTGCAAAATGTAGACGCAAACTGTAAGGATTGTTCCACTTCTTCAGATGGTCGACTTTCTCTTTGTTTGATAACTCCTGTTCTTTTCTCCTTGTCTCATAATTCTGTTTCCACTGTCAAATAAATCAGTTTCCCTTTGCAAGCAATACTGTAAGGGAGATTAGTGTTAGAGACTGGATGCTAGACAAAGGATATGTCTCCATGGCAGAGCCTCAGCGACTCAGACCAGGAGTGCTGTGCCAAGTTACACATCTGTGCCCTAATTTACTTACTGGCAGTGAGAACTAAAAAGGGGGAATAACTCTAGTAGATTTTATCACTAGGGTGTAACCTATCTACAAGTTATGTATATATAGTTACAGTGAGGGCAGGCCCATGAATGGCAGGGTGGAGTGGAGTGGAGGTGGAGTGGAGCAGAGTGGAGCTAATGGAGTTAAATGTTAGCTGACTGAATATTACTGACAAGTGAGGTTATGGGGTTAGCAGAGGGGCAGGCTATAACCCAGAAACGGAAAGGAGGGATAGGCCCAAAGGTAGGCTTGCAGGGCAAGCAAGTGAATTGCCCAGTGGGGGTGGGAGTGCACTAGTGGACATTGGAGCTGTCTGTAGGCCTTTGGGGTTCCATACTTAGGGAGGTGTAGGTAATATATTGAATTGACAGGGTGGTGACCATGGAGGGAGTCGGAGGTGATTGCAGAATATGGAGGCTCCAAGGTTAGTGACAAAGGAGTGGAGGTAATCTGGAAGGATCGAGGTAGTGGAGGACGATGGCCATAGATGGATATGACAATTAGTGTC